AATTCTGCTTTTCTTCTTTGAAGTAGAATGCTTTGCAAGCAGAATGCAATTCCGCGTTTTGTTCCTCGAGATTTGGCCTGTGTTAACGTAAGTGGGCATTCACACAAGTATTCAAAGGAAACCATTCTCTGCTGGAAAATGGAACAAAGTCGCCCCTCTCCAATCACGGGGCAGATATATAATCTGTAACAACAAATTAGCCTCCCAGTGCTGCGCATTTCCCGCAAGCATCCTGCCTTCTCTGTTTATAACTTTTCTGCCTGCAATTATTTTTATTTTAATTTTCTGTCACTTGAACAAAAACCAGAGCCTTTCCTTTTCATGTTTTGTACACAACATGTTCATTTTGATAAGATGTCCTTTCCTATCCTCTTTTAGTTTGCCTTTCCTTGTTTAGAGTTCTGTATCAGGAGTTTCTAATACTTCTCTCTCTTCTCTCTCTCTCTCTCTCTCTCTCTCTCTCTCTCTCTCTCTCTCAAGAACTTGTCCCTGTCTTGCTTTATTTGTGTGAAATTTAGTTTGAAAGGAGATCAGAGAGAGCAGGAGGGGTTTGTAATAAGAGAATGACCGAATGACCCAGAGCTGATTATCTATCATTAACTGGAGACTCGGTGTACCCAAATTACCAGGGAGACCTCAGTCTGCCGGATCCTCACCCGGCCAGAAAGGCGAGTGTGGAATGCACACACTGAAACGGGCTCCTGACATTGCAAATGAAGACACTCGGCTCACACACTTTAAGGAGGTTTCCTTCAAAACTCAACTCAGGTTCAGTGGGCAAATTTATTAGATCCTGCCATGGTGTGCACAGGTAAAAATCTCTGCTGAAAGACTAGCTGTCCCATCTCTGTAACTAACTTTTGTGTGTTGTTTCGTTTGGAGCAAAATTGCAGTTAATTGTCTAAGCTCCAGAGAATATTGAGAAATCAAGCCAAGCTGCTTTTGATCTGCTCACGCTGCTAAACCCAAGCCTTGTAAAGATCGAGGTTTGCCATTAATATTGACAATAAAAGTGTTTCTTTTTGTTAACCTGAAACCTAACCATCCTGGCTCGCGTCCCTCGACTAGACGCAAAGGCCCTTGCCTAGAAGAAAGGAGAAAAGGTTTGGAAGGAACTGCCAGGGCAAAAGAAATCCCTCTATGTGAGTTTGCAAAGGAGGTTTCAGAACAGGACTTCCAGGAATGCGAGCAATACTGCCGTTAGAAGTGGGCATGGCCTGGCCCGCAAGTCACAAACAGACCCTTCAGCCACATAAATGGTTTGTCCAAAGCCCCGCGTTTTAAGTTGCTGTTTGCTTTTGTACTTTATTCTGCACCCCAGACTGTATTTAGGACTAGTTGAAGTTAATTACTTACTGTTTCCACAGAGCATGGGTGCAAACTTGCAATTACTTCCTCCTCTGAATGTTGAATGATTTCCTCCCGGCTTGGAAGAAAATATTGCTGGCATGTACACAATTTGCTTGAAACAAGAATGTGGATGAGTAGTTAACATAAATCCTGTGGGGTGTAAACTATATTTTACTGCAAAGTAGCCAAGATCAGATTTACAGGACCTCTTAGGACCCCTGTAATAACATTAATAACACCTCCCATGGATGCTGCCTCTTGTGAGGCCCTTTCAGGTACACTATCTTTTGTCCCCTTTAGTCTGAATAAGTATTTTAGCTTTACAGACCTGGATACCTAACAAAGTACCTCGTTCTTATCAGTGCAAACCCCTCAGACTATCTTCCAGCTAGCATGGAGAGCTAGTCATTGATTATTTGGAGGAAATGGAAATTCCCAATGCCAGTCATCTTGGATATTAATATTTTGCATACATGTTGTATGCCTTAAACTTACAACAATGTTGAATGTCAGTTATATCTCAATTTAAAAAAAAACACGGGGGGGGGGGTTCTTAGAGGAGTTAGGATGAACCAGTCAGGAACATCAAAAACCTTGTCAGCCCAAACTTTGCTAGTGGGCAAATTAGAAGGGAGGGAAGGAGACAGGGGAGAAGAGGGACCAAGTGAAGGGGGGGCAAGAAAGGGGGAAGGGAAGATATACAGGCAACAGGCAAGTCCCAATTGTGTCCACTGACTGGGATGTTTCTTGATCATCATTGGACTGAAGGACTCATAAGCAATCAGCCCCTGCACAGTCATCACTGCGGCTGGATCAGCCCCTCCCCGCCCCCATCTCCACAGAACCGCTCTGGATGGGGAAAAGGGGAGAACAGGGCTCACTCTTCAAATACCCTGCCCCCACCCCAAAACACAAAAAAAGAAAATGCTCAGATGAAATAAAACCTCCTAAGAGCCCAGGGGAAGCTTTCCCCCGCCCTTCATGTCTGAAACTGATACAAAAGTCCGATGGAATTTGATTCTGCTTTGTCGATGTGTCCTGCAAGCGGCACTTCATTGCTGGGGCCACTGTCACTTGCCAGGTCTGTAGACAACTGTTTCCGAAAAGGAAAACAAGGAAGCGAAGGCCTACAAAACCCCAGTTCGAGAGAAACCCTTGCCGGCACTCAGGCAATGTGTCTTGTTCTGGATGTCCTAAGGGTTCTGAAACTAAGTGGTTAGCACCTACGATGACTCCATCCCAGACAGGAATGCAGAGCCATCCGGCTGTCCTGGGAGCAGGGTCCTGGGAGCAGGTGGGACTGGGTTACATCTTCAAGAACACGTTGCTTCTTGTGCCACCTTCTGGGTTTGGTGGGTTCCTGGGGGTCACTGATATAAGCTCATTGTAGATTCATAAGGGAATGCTCAGTGACTTCTATGTTAGTTGGGGAAATAAGGTAAAACGAGATTTGAAAAACGACGAAGGGAATTGAGCCATCATTCCCGTAAACATAAAATGTGCGTTTATGGCCCTTTGGCCTGGTTCGTTTCAGGTCCAGTTTATTTTGAGTTCTCATGAGCAAAACACAAGATACAAACTGCCCTTGCCTTTGGAATCATAAAGACCTCAAAAAGACCTGTATTTTCCCTAAAACACACTGAGGTTTAAAAAAAATTTTTTTTTTCCGTTTAAACCAGATTGATTTTTAAAGTATCTCACAAGACCAACATGTTTGCAAGGGAGTGCTCGGCCTCTCTCATGCTCTTTGAATCTTTTCCAGGGGAGGGGGTGGGAGTGAAGGGAGAGAGACAGGGACATGAGCGCACAATAAATGTTTGAACCCAGTTCTGTCTGTTTAGTTGGAGGCAGATGTCATGAGCAGCACAGTGAGTACACCATCAGCTACGACAAAGACCGTGGACACGGAATCACAAACATCCCCCAAAACCAGGGCGGCCCCCCTGTGAAGGGGTCTCCAAACTGACCCCATAAAAGACAAGTTGCAGCCTCCCAGCCTAGGAAAAGGAGAAGTAGGAAGTAATGCCCTTGCCAGGATTCCTCCTGTGGGCACCCACCCTAGGGCTGCCCCCCAGCCAGCATCATCTCAGCAGCTGGGGCCCTCTGAGTACTCGGAAAATATGCCCTTGGGGGAGCGGTGCCCCAGAGGCCACACTAGTTCAGACCTGGGGAGGGGTCACCGGGCTGACATCTAAGCCTGGAATTACACCCTCCTTCCCTTTTTCCCCTCTACTTTCCTCCTCCATCACTGCCACTACCATCACTTTCATCACTGCCGCCTCTGGAAGGCACAGGGTACCTAAACTGGGGGCGAACTCTCGAGATGGCATCTTTGCCTCACAGCTTTCCAAAACAGCAAGCTAACCCAGCATCCCACTGCACCTGGAGCAAAATGAGCCAGAGAGAGCACTGAGGGGGGAATGTGGCTGCCTTTGATTGAGAATTCAGAGTGGCGCTCAGCTAGTCTGGCTTCTCTGAGGCAGTAACTACAGTTAAAGACAGCAGAGTTCACCCATCTGTCCCCTGCCTCCAAGCCGCTGCCTTTCTAAGGCTGTGGCCTCTGGGTTTGGCTTTCTGAGATAAATGAAGCCCTAGACCCTTGGACCACATTAATTAACTGATAATGACACTGTCAGTAAGAACTGATGCTCAGATTAGCATCTTTTACGACTTTTTTCTGTCCCATGTTGTCCGTCTTTTTTTTTTATCACTTGCCATGCTATCTGGGACCATGCAGGGACTCGCTCATTTTTTGTTGGTGTTGTTTCAATTAAAGATCACGAGAAAGGCAAGGCCAGTTCTGAAGCCTTCGCCACGGAGGCCACTGGCCTCTGATGGACACAGCATCCCAATCTCCAACTCAGCCCTCTCCTGGGCCCCTTCCTCCTCCGTTCAATTCCCCGAATTCCCTTTGGGTCTGAAAGCAGACTACCAACTACTCTCCGTGAATTTTATCTGTTCCCGGCCAGGGTGCAACCATCTTACTTTGTCTACATACTCCCAAGGCCTAGATGTGTTTTTATAAACAGACTTTTTTTTAATGTATCAAATGTCAGGGGATTGAACTACCAATATTTACACATTCAGGGTTTGCCTCCCGGTGAAAATGTAAACAGAACCCAGACCACACTACCTATATTCTTCCTTAGAAGAACAACGTCTTAAAAGGACTCTCCTTATGTTCAAAATTGCAGACCCACCAAAGTTGGAGCTTCTAAGTTCTAGGTCCCTATTTTGTTCCCAGCCCAATCCCAAGACCCTGGCACTTACCAATGAATCTGGCTTCAGCTGCTCTCCACTCCCTGTTCTCTGCCTTAAGACGTTCTGACCAGGGCCAGGCCGCCAGGGAAACTGACCTACGGAGGGAACTGAACGGGCCTCCCATGGACTCCCAGCCTACATCCCTCCTGAGTTCCTTCCCCTCTCCTACTGCCCTGCCGCAGCCAACCTAAAACTTATTTCTCAGTGCTGTTGCCCAGGGCTCTGGGCCTCAAATCCTTGGCAGCCACGGAGTTGGACAACCCCTCAACCCTGCTCTCCATTTGCCCTGACCATGCCTTCCACCCCTGAATTATGTACCCCCACAGAACGCACCCAGCAGGGCGAGGAGAGGATTGTCCTCCCGGAGTCCTGGGGACCCACTTTTCGGCCTGCCTCCAAGGATGGTGGATGACCCAGGCGGAGTCGTCATTGGTCTCCCCTGGGCGACCCTGGTTAGGACCAGCATCGTGTCCCGCTCCTTCTTCTGCACACTCTGCCCTCTGGTCCCTCAAATTGATGGCTTCTGCTGACATCCTTTCCCAAACTGAACTCCATCGAACAGAATCCTCATCTACCACCCTCATCTATCTATATCAGCCTCCCCTGGCCGCTCTGGGCAAAGCCCGATGGATGACTTCAGCTCCCGCCACCATCCGGTCCCACCGTCCCCTCACCCGACTAGCCTCCTGCGATCCTTCTGATCCTTCTCAGAGACGCTCACGCCACAGGGGCGCCCTGGCCTGGGTGCCCCGGCGACGTCCAAGTGGAGATCCATTTTCCATTATAATGCGTTCAAGATCACCAAGGCCAGCAATCTAAACATCCACGAGCCGTCCTTCTGGCCTGCCTCTTAAACTGGTGTTTAATGGTTCCCCTCCGAGAACTAAACCTGCCTTCCACAGATGCCCGCTTTTATGGGAGAGGCAGGAATGTAGAGATATATTTATATGTTTGTTCATAAAAACTGGAAAATAAGCTCTGAACACGCTGTAAAAAAGATTCAGTTACTTACCAAACAGGCTAGTTAAAACAGGGGAACACCGGGACCCGCCACACCACAAATTCGGGGAATCGAGGTGCCTGCGCTTTGAAATCGCCCAAGGTCTTCGGAGGGGCTGGCGTCCCTGAAGAATATGGAGATAGGATTTACAATCGGCGGGTCTCCATTGGGATCTCCCAAAGCAGCCACGATCGCAGGAGCCACACCAAACGACCCGCGCCCGGGTGAAGGTGGGTGGGTCAGTGAAGGGACCACAGCCAGGAGTCTCCAGCCCGTGCCCAGGTCCACGCACCAGCCTTCCCCGCCGCGCCCCGCGTCCGCCTGGGCTCAGCCGCCCCTTTGTGGGGCCCCCGCAGCCCGCCGCCTCTGCTCTCGACCCGCACAAAACTGCACCCGTAGGCCTGCGGAATGCCTTGCCTCGATTACCTACCACCAAACACTCCGAAAAGCGATATCTGCGTACCTTTAAAAAAAAAAAAAAAGGCAGAAAAGAAAAAAGCGGAGAGATACTGTACCTGGTCTGAGATTCTTCAATATTTGAGAGTTGGGGGGAAAAATATTTTAATAATGAAGCATCTGTTAAACACTTGCATTAACCTCTGGCTGATAAAAAAGTTTTTTTAACCCTGCCCCCCCTCGTTTTAATTATCTTATGGTTATGAAGGGGCAGCCAATCCTGGAAGAGGACCTCGGCAATTAGCAAGAAGAACATCAAAAAGTTTTATTGCGGAGAGCGCGAGGCGCCGCCCCCGCCGCCCCGGGATTGGCGTGAGGAGCCTCTGACGACATATATTAACCCGAGCGGCCCTAAAGATGTAGCTGTACATGGAGATCCTGCCGGGAAAATCCGCTGACTCCCCTTACGGCGTCCAGCCCGGAACGGCCGCCGCCGCCACCCGGGAGCTCCCTCGGCCACCGCGCAGCCCCTCTGAGAGCCGGAGCCGAAGGCCTTCCCGCTCCAAGGCGACCGCAGGGCCCCAGATCTTTCCCCCGAAAGAAGGAGAGGGTCTGAGAAAATGGATGCACTGAGACCTCTCTGAAAACCCTCCGAGGGAGCCCGAGAGGAGCGAGGACACGTAACTCGCAGCTAAAATCACATTCAGGACCACAACCACCACCGTCCAAAATTTCATTAAAACAATAAGCGCCCGAGAACCCAGATCCGGCTGGTGGGGGGAGGGGAAGGGGCGGGAAGGGGAGGGTCGCACGGAGGTAGCTTCGCGCTGAGCAGTCGACCCCGCCGCCTCCCTGCAGAGCCGGGCCGGCTCCTCCACCGGCGGCTCGGACTCGTCCCCGGACTCCAAGTTAACGTCGGTGCCAGGAGCGCGGCCGGGGCGCCGAGCCCGGCGACTCCGCGGAGCAGCCTCGCGGGAGCCCGGGCACTTTTGCATGAGCACCGGAAGATTCGGCGTCTCCGCAGCAGCTCGGGAAGCAGGAGCGGGCGCGCGGCCGTGTAGCGAGGCGGGAGCTGACGCCGGCGGCGCGGCTAAGGGCGCACGGTGCGGGACCAGTTCGCCGGCGCCCCATGGGGAGCCGGTCGCCCCAGACTTGTTGAAGACGGCACTCGTTCGGTCAAGTGGGAGTGGCGGAGGCCCGGGCCTGCAACACCCCTCTTCTTGGGTTTCGAGACCTGCCCGGAGCGCCCCGGGGTTTTGG